TGATATCAGAATATATATATAAAAATAAAGTTTCTATTTGACTAATACTTGAAACAGACAGTGCCAGTTATGCCTGCCTTTAACTGCCTCTGTCACCATCTGCAAATAAATGCTACTATGTAATGCTAATCCAGGTGCAAAAAAAGGATTAGCATTACAATGGTAATCCAGGCGGATCTAGCCTCAATTTCTACACTCTGTATATGTTTACGTATCAGCATCGGTATCGGCCCACAGATCCCACATCTGTGCACCCCTGCTTTAAATCATGCTTGTGTTCCATTGTCTGTTAATCCACAACACCATTAATGGCTTCACCCATTACTGCCATTTGCAGACTGGTTTTCTGCTAACCACTGATGAGCGGGCTTTAGCCTTCAGTCTCAGGATGACTCACCGCATTTAAAAGATATCAGATTGGAGCACTCAATCATGCAATTAATCCACTCAAAGTCTCGAGGGTCAACAAAAACAAACACTAGTTCAGCGCACATGATACACTGTGAAAAGAGGTTTCACCACAGCTAGAGGCCAACCATCACTCACCGCATCAATCCATCACACTGAAGTTTGCTTCACGTCTAACAGAGACTGTACCATTGCATCAGATGCTCCATTAAATGTCTAAATGACTCAGAAAATGAATGCATACTATGCGGCAAACTGACAATGTACAGATACAGCATGCAGCAGTAACCTATAAGGTGCCGTAGATCAAGTGTTGACAGACTGCCGACACTGCTTAACACAAGGATCAGATAGCCATGCTAATGCCTCAGATATGCTAACACATTTGTGAAGACATCCCCCGAATGTGTTGGTTAAAGGATCAAAGATAAGAAACAAAGCTAATGTCTGTCAGCTTCTTATTTGAATTTTCCGTCCCACCTTAAATGGACCAGCAGTTACACGTTGGTATTGTTGCTCCATTTAAGGAAGAATAGAAAATTTTAATAAGAAGCTGGCGATTAGGCCAGCTTTAGCCTCGTGAGACAGAAGATAGCACCAGTCTAAGCAGCTACTATTCCCCTCAAGATTCAAGCAGCTGCTAAGTGCCAATTCTGAATGGGCAAAACAAATAACTCGCTCCACAGGGACGTTAATAGCTACCAACTTGCACCTATTTGCTTGAGACCACCTCTATTTGGTTGTGGATTTCACACACCTCATATAGAAACACAAGATCAGATTGTAAATGAACTTGTAATGCTCAGTGGATTTAATACTGAGATGTAGCCTTTTAGTTTACATTTTTTGTTTACTGTTATATAGTTGCACTTTTGTTCGTATTTTTTGTTTTATGTCTTACGACTCAAAAAAAAAGCCAACTGCCTCTTTTTTGTAACGCAGCATCTTATTTGATTTCATATTTTTTAAATAACCAATTAATTTTTAATTTTCAATATGCCAGTTTGGCCATGTTATTTATGATGATACGTATCATTAATAAAAAAGACCTGGCAATTTGCTAATTTGTTGCATGTGTTCAATTAGCCCTAAAAAATTAGCTCACAAGAACGTGTCTCCAAAAAAAGCCCACTCATTTGCCTGTAAAGAACTGGAATCATAATCCAAAGAAGTCATAAAAATTCATAATCAGCTCTAGTAAAATGCTTCAAATGCTTCTCAAATTCTTCTTATGTTCTAGTCTGAGAAATGGGCATAAGTATTGTAGGAATACTAATAGTACATTTTTGAATTGATTCAATTACTGTCATGGCTAACCGTCCCTAGTAGTTACCATGGCACGCCAAGTCATCAGCAGTAGCATCTCTAAGAAATTGTCATTCTGTCCATTGAGACTTAATATGCCAGGAGACAGGCGATGCGTATAACCTCTGAAATGAAAACACAGAAATATAGCTCTAGCAAATCAAAGATGAGGAGGAACAATTTACACCCCAATTCTCAGTCAGATGGAGCTGGAATACATAAATGCAACCATGCATTCATCCCTGAAGGAACTTCCAATTCTTCTAGTCTAAGTAATATATGTTATCAGAAACATGAAAGGTGTCACTGAGTTCAGGTCCTCATTAAAGAAAAGACTGGGCAGCTGGGTAACATGCGGTCAGTATTTGACAGTAGTCAATCAGCTTTAAAAAGACACCCATAAACGGGCCATATGGTCAAGAAGGCTTAAAGTAACACTGCTATGGTTTAAAACACTGTAAAACTCTTTAACTGAAGTGTGCAGGCAGTTTTTCACAACTCTGTGATGGTTGCGAGTTCTGCCAATCGTTACTACAATCCTGGCAATGATCCCATTCCATTTGCTTCTGGTGTATAATATAAAACCCTCTAAACCACTACTACTGGCTCAAAAATGGTTCTTAATTAAAGAAGATTTGGGAAGTTTTGACCCTCGTGGATGCATCCTCATCATTAAAATTGGCCGTCTGAACTGTGATTACAACTCCCTGAGCACAAGAGCATCATGGAGCACAGTCAGAAGCTCTGTTCACTCAGGGGTGAAACGCACTATAAGATGTACATACTGAGCACTGCAGAAATGAATAAAAAGTCTCAGGTCACAACGCCTCGGAGGAAGACAACAACAGGGAAGCTGCGCGAGATAACAAGCAGATAACATCTGTCCATGTTACAGAATCAGAGACGCCTTAATCTACACCTTGTTTACTGTTTTTTCCTTCTCGTGAGGCCCAGAGTCAAAAGGGGCTGCTTCTACCAGAGCTAATTAAGAGCCACACAATGAGCTAAACAGCAAATCGGGAGATTACATCACAGAGATGACTCATCCTCATAGCCCTGGGGCAGCAGAGCATGTGACCACTTAGCACCTCCCATGTTATCTCAAACGATGGGGATGTCCCAGGAAATTATTTAATAAAACACAAATGCAATAGAGATATAGACGGAAGGCACAATCCAAGTCACATTATAGGCTAACAATTGTTAGCCACATAAATACTTTTATAAAATAACTGGACGTAAAATTTTACATTTGATTATTTTAGAATTCCACGTCATTATTATTGATTAACCAGTTCAAAAGTAAAAAAGCAGAACAGACGCTGTTTATGACGTCACTAGGTACAAACACCAATAAAAGCACAAGCGCAAAACAAGAAATGTTTACGTGGCATATTTAATACTTAATAATTAATAGAATAATTTAATTTCAGCCCCATAACATGGTCACGACCAGCCTGCAGCATTTCTAAGTCGTGTCTAAAAAAAGTATTGTGGCGTTTAGAATAGATGTAGTGAACAGTTCCCGCCCAAAACTCTCTGTCTTCTGGTTGGCTCCGTTTCTCGCGTGCGGCAAGTGAACCGACGTCCAGTGATGGCAAGTTCGATTCAATTTAACGAGCCGATTCTTTCGAACGGTCTGATTCTATGAACCGAACGCCAAGAGGCAGGTTTATTAAATCTGTATCTAGGTTAGCATCTCTGCTTCTTATCCAGCCAGCTTCAGTCTATCTGGCCGAGTAAGGAAGGAAATTATTCCGTTGTCAAAACCTCACTGAAAACAGCCTAGCCTAGCTAGCCAGCCAGGCAAATAGTAGTTTAGACGGCCAACCCCTGAGCACTGAATAAAACGTGTCAACAAGACAAAACTGGAACTGTACCTCCTGTTTTGTTTTCTTCAAATATAATATATCAAATTCAGGCTTAACTATGGAATTAAGTGAATCTGCAATCTGAATAAAAAGTCATGTGAGATGAACAGCCTGGTGAATTAACGTTAAATTTGATTCAATTTAACGAACCGATTCCGTGAACGACTGCTTCAACGATGCATTGATTCACAAGCCAGATAAACTGTATTATCACCATCATTCTGAATGAGATTCAGCGAGTGAGCCTGAAAAGCCGCTCCTTCCACTCATTAATGGACTCAGACTCACGAAGCTGATGTCAGTTTCTCATTCTCCAGCTTCTTGCTCGAATTTTCCCGTTCCACCTTAAACGGTGCAGCAGTCAAACTCTGGCGCCTCAGGCTGCACCATTTAAGGTGGAACGGGAATATTGGAACGAGAATATGAGTTTATTGTTACAGTTTTATTAACGCAGATGCCACAAAAAAAGTTTGATTCAGCTGAACTTGCGAATCAGTTTGAGCGGTTTGTTAAAAAGAACCGATTCAAAAGAACGATTCAAAAGAACGATTCGTTCGCGAGTCTGACATCTCCACCAACGCCTGTCACCTAAATAATCTCGGACACGTGCGTGCGAGGTCCGAGAAACGAGAGCTAATCCAGCATAATGACACGGTGTAGAAACCGCAGAGTGGACAGTGTCCGTCGACTGTCACTGTGTCCGATTCAGAGGACTCATTTACTACATCTGTACATGCTCTTAAAGGGGGTCTGACAGGTTCTAATTACTCAGGAGGACAAATAGGCGTTAGCTAACGTTATAACACATTTCAAAAACTCTACCAACTACCAAAATACTGGCCGGTAAATACAAACCCAGCAAAAAATAAGCAGATTTATTGAAGCCGCATCTTGCATCTAATCACAGCTTCTTATCTAGCCAGCTTCCAATCTATCTGGCGGGGTAGTGACAGGAGGGGAAGAGGGAAATCCTTCTGCGCTCAAAGCCTCACTGAAAACACTCCAGCTAACTAGCCAGCCAGCTAACGTGTAGCGCACACAGCCAAAACAAGAGCACTGAGTAAAACGTGTCAAGAACACCAAACAGGTTCGGACCTAATGCTTCGTTTTCCTCAAATACAAGAAATCAAACTCAGGCTTAACTATCGAATTAAACGAATCAGCTAAGCGACCAAAGCTAGCCAGCGCACTGTGAATGAAACACCCTGAGAGATTAACTAACAGCCCTCCTGAATTAAGGCGCCGTTCAAACAGGTCCACAGACAGACCCACCTGACACTTGACCACTGGAGCTGCTTTAATTCAAAATGTGAGCACAAAACCGCGCTGCAAGTGATATTCACTCCACCCAAACGACAAAAACCTTCAAAAAGGGCAGCATGAAGCTGAACCCATGGAGGTTTGAATGGACCTTACCTGCGCTGCCAAGGAACAGGAACACCAAGATGATGAGCTCCTTGGTCTGAAACATCTCATTCACTTTCTAAAAAAAAAAAAAGACGTGAGTATGTTTTTATCTGAGGTGGCTATTAATTTTAATCCTCCTCAATTCGAAGTTGCCTCAAAGTTGCTGTTTCTATTGTTGTTATTTGTTGTTTTCAGCGTCGCCCTCGTTGGAGACGCTGGCAGACGAACAGAGTGGACAGTGTTGGGGTTTAAAATAGCATCGCCCGTACGCGAGTAACGGGGCGCGCGCACGATGCAGCCTGCGCACACACTGCGGATTAATCCGCGTGACGAGGGGGGTAAAATAGTGCGCTTGAAGAGGCTGTGAGAGTGGATTCCCACACGAAAGTGGCCGTTGCAGCTTCGTCCACGGATTTAATATTCAGTGATATCACAGAGAAGGAGGGATTTCGGATATGACGACGGCGTGTCGGTGTGAGAATTTCATACGAAACGTGTTTTATTTACATCCTTATTTTCTGCACACGTAGGCGCCGTAGACTGTGTGTGTAAACAGTGCAGCCTCAAGCAGACTCCTGCACTCGCCTGCCTGCGTGTGGTATATGCTGCAGACAAAGAAATAGCTCTTGAAATGTTTTGAGGGCGGCCCCAGTTTTTTTTCTCCCCCCTGAGCTTTATTTGGCTCTCTCTAAATAATGATCTCCCTCTCGGATCAGTGAACTGATACTCTCCTTTGTTTCCCACTGAGGGCTGAGAAAGGGGCTCTGGCCTCTGAGAGGAACTCTGTGTGGCCCGTCGATTCAGGAACAATATTAGTTTTAAACCTAACCACACTCTTAAAAAGATGGTTCCTCGAGGGTACTTTGGTCAAGGCAATGGTCCTGTTTAGAACCATGAGTTTTATATAGGACCGTTTCATGCTTAAAAGGTTTTTGCATGGTGAAATAGTTCCTCAGATTGATGCAGTATGTGTTTCATACAGTTCTATATAGAACATTTTTGAAAATGGTTCTTCTATTGTTGCAAGCTTGACATCATAACAATGGAAGAACCCTTTTTGGTGTTATGTAGAACCCTATACATCACATTCTCCATCAATCAGAAGAACCATTTTGCCATGCAAAAAACCTTTTAGGCATGAATAGTTCTAAAAAGAACCATTCCCTTTACTAAGGAACCCTCAAAGAACCATCTTTTTAAGAGTGCAGTAGCTTAAAAGTAGACAGTGTCTACAGTGTTTTTATATGATCCACTTTTTTTCTACAAACAAAATGATTTTGTACTGATTTCCTCCAGTTTCAATAAACATTCACAAAACAGATGTAATAGGGACCCACTCCTAAAAATGATGGTTCTTCAAGGGTTCTTTAGTAAAGAATATGGTTCTATATAGAGCCATGAAAACTCAATGAACCCTTTGTGTGATTAAAGGGTTCTTTGCATTGTGAAATGGTTCTTCAGATTGATGGAGAACATGCTGTAGATGGTTCTATATAGAACTTTTTTGAAAAGGGTTCCACTATTGTTACAAGCCAAAGAACCCTTTTTTCTAACAGTGTACCTTCTACTGAAGGTAGCGTTATGGCAAAAGTATATCCCTGTATTTCTAAACCTTTTCTCAGTACACAATATGCATCACGATAGTTCGTTGTAACAGACAAAAAACAGGAACAAGTAGTTTAAAAATAATATCAAAACTAAAAACACTTTTTTTTAATGATTCAATGTTTCACATACTGTGCTGCACTGTATTCAGTAAAACAGGCCTAATTATGCTGTTCTTTTAGTGGTACATGAAAATACTGATGATATTCACGATATGCTCAGAAAACAATGTTGTGACTTAGACTTAGAAGTCATGTCCTCATTCTGTAGTTGGGGTCACGCTAGATTAGGAACTCTGGGTTTAAGCAGATTTCTTAATGTGAAAAATGAATTCTGCGCCCAAATCCTTATGCCATACGTACATTTTTCCTCTGAATATCACTGGATCCCCTGAATCACAAGGTCAGTAAGGAGTCTAAATATGAGTATTGCTACATACAGGATAACACTGCACACTGAACTCATATCACAGCCATTGACAATCTCACCAAAATACCCCACAAAAACTAACAAGTTTTACATTGTTTTGGCACTATTAGCCTACGAGTATGAGTATATAATGGTGTTGAAGTTTAATAGTAGACTTACTTTCATGTGACATCATTTCAATGCACAGCGTCACTCATATTTCAAGTCCCCAGTGACCACGTAATTCAGAGGATCCAGTGACACTCCAGGACAGGACAAAACATATCGGGTTTAGAACTTTTTTGTTCACCACGGGGTGAAACGATGGTAAAAACACCATTAATTTATTGAACAGAGAAAACCTGCTTAGACCTGAAGTTCTTAATATGGGCATGACATCAGCTACAGATGGTCTTTAATGTAATGTAATTTATCATGATAGCGATAAATATTGTTATGTTGGTTATCCCTGTCTTGTACCCACCCTGTCTGACCACTTATTCACCCACCCACCTTATTGGTCCACTATATAGGTGTATAATTACAGACTGTATCTGATATCATGCAAAATTAGTTGGCCACTCTGTACCCTATTTATCATCGGTAGGTTTCTGACCACAGGACCACTGCTGACCAGATGTTAACTGCAGGGCGGACCATTCTCAACACAGCAGTGACACTGACATGGCAGTGGCGTGGTAGTGTATGTGTGCTCAAACAAGTGTATCCAGCACAGCAGCATGGCTGGGGATGTTATACATGTCAGTGTCACTGCTATGGTTCACTAGTCAAAAATACTCAGGCAAGAGCAACTCTGTGATGAGAAACTAACCATCACTGAAGGGCTAGAGGATGACACAGACAAACTGACCATAGCAACAAATGGGCTCTATCTATTGACAGGTGTTTCTAATAAACTGTCTGGTGGGTGTATAAAGGCATAATGTGTGAGAAAACCATGGTTGTTTCATATCATAAGCATTACTGTACCATGATTTTAGTAATTACTGTAATCAGGTAGCAAGCTTAAGCAACAATTGGATGGTTTAATGTTCTTCCTGTAAGAAAAGGTCTTTACGGATCACGTTTCGGCCAAGAGCAATCATGGCGTTTAAGCAGGGTGGTGCTGTCATGTGAGACATCTTGAATGGTATAGACTGTAGCGGGGGAGGTAAGGCAGGACCCGGACTTTCACCAGACTGAAAATAAGGCCTGATGCCATTTACTGCAATCCTGCACTGTTACTGGCAGCCAAATCTATCAATCTGTGCAGATATCCATCAGTCTGCGCTTTAGAGTCATATCTCAACCATTTCCCGCTCACAGGCTCAGCATGACCGGCCGCTGAACAGTTCACATGCTGAAAGGAAGCCAATTATGAATCATTCTCTCCTGAGCATCTGGACATCACTACATAAGAATAATAAGATCAGATGCACTTTTCTCTAAGGCTTTATAACACAAACAACATTGTTAGGTTATACAGCAAGTATCAGTCTCTCTAATACTGAAGATGAGCCATGGTTTCTGAATGAAGCATCACTTAAGATGCATTCATTATGAAGCACATGAAGCATTCCTTATTCAGCATTCATTAAGAGTCATCCCTTATGAAGCATATGAAGAATCGTTCCTTATTAAGCACATGAAGTATTCTTATTCAGCATTCCTCTAGAATAATTCCTTATGAAGCATATGAAGCTTTCCTTATGAACAATATAAACCATTTCTTGTAAAGCATCCATTAAAATGGTTTCTGCATGAAGCCTTCCTTATGAAGCATTCCTTATTCATCATATGAAGCATTACTCGTTAAGCATTACATACAAAGCATTTATTATAAGCATGTGAGGCATTCATTATGAGCAATATGTATCATTCCTTATTCAGCTTTCCACAAGAATCATTCTTTATGAAGCACATAAGGCATTCCTTATTCAGCATACCTTAAGAAGCATTCCTTAAGAACCATCCCCTATTCAGTATTCCTTAAGAATCATTCCTTATGAAGCACATGAAGCATTTCTTATTCAACATCCCTTAAGAATCATCTCTTATGAAGCATTTGTTAAGAATCATTCCTTATGAAGCACATGAAGCATTCCTTATGAACAATAGAAATAATTCCTTATGAAACATTCATTAAGATGGTTTCTGCATGAAGCATTCCTTATGAAGCATTCTTTATTCATCATATAAGCATTACATAAAAAGCACATAAAGCATTCCTTATGAAGCACATGAAGCATTCCGTATTCAGCATTCCTTAAGAATCATTTCTTATGAAGCACATGAAGCATTCCTTATAAACAATGTAAATAATTACTTACAAAGCATTCTGCATTAAGCATTCCTTATGAAGCATTCTATTCAACATATGAAGCATTCCTCATTAAGCATTACATAAAAAGCATTCATTATGAAGCACATGAAGCATTTCTTATTCAGCATTCCTTAAGAATCGTTCCTTATTCAGCATTCCTTAAGAATCGTTCCTTATTCAGCATTCCTTAAGAATCATCTCTTATGAAGCATTTTTAGGAATCCTTCTTTATGGAGCACATGAAGCATTCCTAATTCAGCATTCCTTAAGAATCATCTCTTATGAAGCACTTAAGAATCATTCCTTATGAAGCACATGAAGCATTCCTTATTCAGCATTCCTTAAGAATCATTTCTTATGAAGCACAAAGTATTCTTTATTCAGCATTCCTTAAGAACCATCCCCTACTCAGCATTCCTTAAGAATAATTCCTTATGAAGCACATAATGCATTCCTTACGAAGCTTTTTAGATATTTCTGATAAATATGAATCCTCCCTTATGAAGCATTCATTAAGAATCATTTCTTATGAAGCACATGAAGCATTCCTTATGAATCATTTCTTATGAAGCACAAAGTATTCCTTATTCAGCATTCCTTAAGAACCAATCCTTACTCAGCATTCCTTTAGAATAAAACTAACTTTAAGAATCATTCTTTATGAAGTACGCGAAGCATTCCTTATGAATCATTTCTTATGAAGCACATAAAGTATTCCTTATTCAGCATTCCTTAACAATCATTTCTTATGAAGCACATGAAGTATTCCTTATTCAGCATTCCTTAAGAACCATTCCCTATTCAGCATTCCTTAAGAACCATTCCCTATTCAGCATTCCTTAAGAATCATTCCTTATGTAGCACGTAAGCATTCCTTAACAATTATTTCTTACAAAGCATATGAAGTATTCCTTATGAACCATAGGATTTTTTACTTATGAAGCATTCATTAACAAGCATTGCTTAAGAATCATCCCTTACGAAGT